TGCGGGAATGCCTTCCTTGCCATTCCTGTTCAGATTCCGTCAGATCATTCTCATCACATGTGCGACAACCCGCCTAACTGGGTGTATCTTGCTTTACCATGTGCTGTAGTGGTGAGGAACCACACTTCCCACCGCAAGGAACGCAACATCAGATATGCAGCCTGGATACTGCGCGGTGGGCGTTCACTTATGTGTGTACCAATCTACAAACAACTGCTATAAAATGAGGCATTTTTTGGACAGCAGAATAAGATGACAGCTCGCACATACTTCTTGGCAAGTATTTAAGACTGACTTCAGGCCAGCGCCAAGTATTACAGTATGAGAGTCCTTACTTTTCGGAAGGGGAAATGAAAAACAAGGCTTCCAGAATAACTGAATACAGAAAATATTAAATTTCTGAGCATGTGACTTCGCTTATGTAGACAAAGTTGAAGTTGGAAATTAAAGAGCTACTTCTTAAAATACAGATGAGAAATGATAATGTAATGCTAGCAGGGGTAACGCTTCACCTTCTCTACTAATCAATTCTCAAAAGCCACAAAGAGCAGAGAAGCCTTAAATTGCTACTGCACAGGGAGCATTTTGAATTAATACCACATGTGTATCTAAGAAGTGATAAATAGAAAAAAAAAATTCAAAGAAACAACTCCAAATGACCTTAAACCCCCCCCCCCAAGTTCTTGTGTTGATCCAATACCAAAAAGCCACGACAGTAAGGTTTCAGACCTAAGTAGTACAGTTGGCCAGTAATAAATGCATCTATATCTAGATAATTTCTGAGCATCACAAGTCAGAATTCTCCTGCAAGTGTCACAAATGGTAGTCGAGTGCTGAACACGCACTGGCACGTTTCATGTGCATGTAGTTGATAAAAGAAATAGTTGTTCCCAAATCTGTAGTTACTTTATACATGCAATCTCGTAGCAAAGTGATTTTTTTTTCAGCTGCCAAACTAAGTGTGGCTCTCCTTAATTTTCTTCTGACTAAAGAAGGATAACGTTTGATGCACATTTGTACTGGAAACCTAGAATCAACAGATAATCCAGCAGATTTGAAAGATTATATTAGATAACACTGCAGTTTTCACAGAAGTCATTTAACTGCCATACTAAATTTTTGGATTGGTCCCATCACCATCATTATTTTACAAAATAAACTAGAAAATAACATTTGAGACATCAAAATCATGTTGCAAAACATGAGATTTTAAAGTTCTTTCTCCAATACATTTGTTTAATCTGTAATAGTTATCATTTTAAGCTCACATCTCTAAGTCAGACAGCATCAATCAAACTAAAAAGATACCGTCTTCTAGGAAACTTGACTTACTAAACTAAATCCAAGGATTTTGCAATGCCTGGTGATTGAAACAGGTCTACGATTCTGAATATAAAACCAACTCATTGCACAGCCTGTGCTCTGAAAATGTGCTTCGGTGTTTCAGAAAGTACCGAGATATCCTACTGCTACGAAGTAGCCAGTCAGAGGAGGGATTATCAACCCATATTAATTACACAGACTGGTTAGCAGTGATTTCCAGCTTTTAAAACTCTGGATACCGTAGCACAGATGTCAAGAGATTACTTCTGAAAGGTCCAAAAAAGGCAAAGTGAAAATCACCATGCTGTGGCATAACTCTATCCCACGTATCCCACTACATATCATATAGGCTTTATCTTTTGTATCTCATCGTGTTTTGCATGTGGATGAGAAGTACAAATTTTCATTTCTTGATTTTACATGTTCCAGTTTTTGCAGCAGAAAACTGTCAAAGAACATATGCCCATGCCTCCGGTTACCTTTGAGACCCTCCCTAAAAACTGCATAATTTATGTACAAAGATTCTCTTCATTGCTCTCGCTTCCAAACGCTCAAAGACACAAAGCCCCAAGGCCTTCAATAATTTAAAAAAAAAAAAAACAAAAACACAACCCAAAGCAAAACTAGCATAGTGTCTTCCAAAAAGATTTCCCATTATGTTTACTTCCACTTATTTATATTTTGTTCCTCTCCGTAACACACAGTAATAAAAGCATTGGTGGAAGGTGATGATGCAGAAAGAAGCAAGAAGGTGGGTGGAGAAGAGCTGCCTGTCCCCATTTTGGCATCATTAGGGTACCACAGGACAGAAGACCCTCCTGTTCAATGGAAACTTGGTCTGTCTTGGGCCAGAGCAGTGCTCTGCCCCTCTTAGGAGCTGCTGTGTTTGGTTTCTGCTTCCCATAAGGTGGGTTAGCGGGGCAGCCGGGGCACCTCCCCCATGTGTCTAAAGGATCTCACACAAGAGCAGGTCATGCCCCAGCCAAAATCCCATCATTTTCAAGATATCTGCTGGAATTGGCAGTACCGGACTTACTCCATCCTGCAGAAACAAATGTACGATGCGTCACAGAACAATACACGACACCACAGGCTTGATTTTGCCAACAGGGGAGTTTTCCCCCTGTGTAACTTCATGCACGTACATGCAGCTATTCCAGTGTCACAGCGGTACTGGAGAAGGGACATAGCCCAAGACTGCTAACAGAGGATATGTGGAAACCACAAATCTCATTATAATTCTGCACTGATGAAATACTTTCCCTGTCTAAGTTGCACCCCAGTCACTGGCTTTGAATCTGGTAGCATTGCAGATGCTGCCTAATCTTACCAGAGGTTATTTGTTAGGAAAAATCTCTTAGATTTAATGTTATATTCAGGAGCTAGGTTATATTATTCGTTTCCATCCTTTAGAAATTGATGAATTGAGCTAGTATTTTATCATGTTGATAATATGTGTGGTAAAATCCCAATGTAAGAATTTTTCCTGACTTTGGAGTGTTGTAGAAAAATCTTCCTCTAGGCTACTGGGTAGCTACTATCCAAGCAGCTTCTTAAGTACCTATTCTACAGCTGGAATGAGGTTAATGATAGATCTTTGTGGGCACAGATCTCTCTCTCTCCCCCCCCCCCCCCCCCCCCTCCCCTCCCCCCTCCGGAGCCTGCGGTTTTCGAGCAGCTGTCACTGCATGTGACATGCATAATGGACAAATCCTTTCCAAACTGCAGGTGTGATTCTTAAGGTGCTTAGCAAAGATGTTCTTGGAGGAGTTCCTCCTGTCCTAGGAATGTAATGGTCTGCTTTTGGTTTTCAGTTCACCGTTTCTGTGCTAGAATACGCTTGAATTTCTTCTTGTTCAAAATTGGAAACCACTTCCAATAGCTTGACTTGAAGTTTCAAATTTCTAGAAATGCAAATAATGTGATCTTTCTACAAATAATAAGAAAATAGTGAAGTTTGAGCAATCCAAAAAAATATATGGATGTGACAAGTGAGATTCCTCCTTTGACACATTTTGCAAATGTACAATTACGTTACAGAGAAATACTTATCTTCAACATTTGGATAATATGAATAGAATAACAACTACCTGTAGCTTATGAGCTCTAGACTGTATGGCTTGTGGGTGTAGAGGGATGTAGAAAGAATATCCTGCAAAAAACAGCAAAAGAGTGTGTTGTGTATGAATCTGTAACGTTCCACTGCCTCTCAAATACTACAGGCTCATGTTTGTGGCATAACAGAACCTGACCAGAATCCTGTATATATTGCCTCACCACTACAAAAACCTTTAAGGTTTACAAACTCTCAAGCTTTGAACAGAAAGTGCCAGGCACTAGACAGTACTGGAAGTTCTGTCTGTAATGACTGAAAATGGTTTAGCTGTGTAATTAGTCAGTGAGCTCATGTAAAAAGACTGGTGCTGAGCTACTTGCTATTTTCACAGCATGTTAGTTATGAGCCTGTATGATGTTGGGAACTTTGACATTTAACCTAAGACTTTTTTTTTTCCACCCAAAAAATACCCACCTATTTATTTTTCTCCTGAAACAGCGTTACCTGTCATTCAACTTTAATTCTGAGCTCCAAAACCAAGGGCAAGTTTCAACTATGAGCCAACTCGTATGTCTGATTCATTAATTGCCAGTGCTTGTAAATAACTCCAAAATATCCGGCATTTACAGGACTCATTGGTATGATTTTGGACTGTGCAGTTTGGGTTTTCTTCAAAACTCTTTCTACGTTAAAAAAAAAAAAGTATGAACTGACTTGCAAGCAGTTTCTTGTATGTGTGTTCCTACGCTGAAATATGATATTATGTAACTGACTCCAAA